AGACAGACAGACAGACAGACAGACAGACAGACACCCACAGTTAATGACAAAGTTTTAAACAAAGATGTTTTGTGTTCAGTCAGGTTTGGTACTCAGCTACTATCACACAAGTTTTATTAGTTGTCAAATTATCTGAGTTTAGCCCTTTCCAGGTTTGCCTGTTGATCACTCAATGATTATGTTCTGGGAGTTATGTTATGCTCTGTCCACTGGTTCATGAGATATTTTGCTGACAGTGCAGGCCAGAACCAACACAGAAAGGTGCAAAAAAGCATTATCGCCACCTCAGCAGCAGGTGATAAGTACAGATGGGTGAGATCTATAAAATCATTAACAAGCAGAGCCTCTTYGTGACGAACACGCTGACAGAAATCAAACGGACAGGTGAGTCTAACTTGTTTTAAAGCTCATGACTGTCCTCCTGAATCAATGTGTAACAGCATCTCATTACCTGGGAGCTGGACTGGCAACAGTAGAGAGCAAAGTGCACCCAGCAGGAGGAGATCTGCTTCCTGATAAATACATTCTGCATAAAAGCACTAAACAGGTACACATTCAACCAAAACATGTCAGAAAGAACAACAAAATGATTTTAATGTTAGAGGAGATGCTAAGATTAGCTCAGGCTGTAGTGTGAACCAGCCTGTTTGTTTACAACCAGTCAGTGGATGGGTTTCAATCCAGAAATCACACAATAACACCATTAGCTGCCAACATTTTAGCCAGGCTGTAAATGAACCCAAACAGTGGAAGCGTTTCTCCTCCAGGAGCAGAGCTGCATGTCAGCTGTCAGCTCTGGACATGTTAGCTTAGTTAGCTAGTAGCAGCTAAAGGCTCTGTCAGCTGAAGCTAAGTGACCCACTGTTGTTGTGTCAGCTCAAACAGCCAGCACACAACATCTGTTCGACCCAATGCTAACCTGTCAACCAAGCCCTCCGCGGTTAGCCAGTTAGCAATGAAAAGAACGCGACAAGCACCAAACACCGTTCAAAAATCGGCTCATTTAACAGGACCTTCCATAGGCAGACACATAAGCATCATAAAACACCCTTCAGCACCATTTGTTCATAACATGAAACAATAATTAAACTCAGGGAAAACTTGAGGCTAACTTCAGCTATTTCAGTGAAATTATAAAAGCTTTARTTACTGAATAATGCTTTCTACTATAGCCTAACGTAGTGCATTTTGTTGGCAGATGACTGCGGAAAACACAAGACTTAGCTACAAAAAACTTCTTATATGTCCAAAATCCTGCCTCTTTTCCGATTTGTATCTAAGCCGAAATGATTAAAGGACCCCAGAAGTTCAGTTGAAAATATTTATTCAATATTATCAGGCGCCAGTCCAGCAAAACAAGCGAGTCAAACGAAAGCGTCAGAATTTACCGGGCGGTCAGGATGTTGTAGCAGGTTAGCTAAGGGCAGGCAGGAAGCTAAGCTAACCGAACTACGGCGGATTTGGCTCCTTGTTTTCGGCTTACCTCTCTTGACAGCCTCGTCATACGGCAGGAAACCTATCCTCGACTCTTTAGCCCCCATGCTCCCTTCATTTCATGACAATGTGAGGCAATAATAAGCGGTACAATCCCAGTGGCTCCGAGCTGCCTGCTGTCCTCCGTTAATGTGGAAGTAGGTTTGACGGTGCGTCTGTGAACGCCTCTGTTCAGTCACATGATCTCGCTGTGTGGGTCAATTGATCAGAACCTTGCTTCCAGCGCCGGTAAGCAGAACCGAGGTATGGTGATCCTCCCGTTCAGCTCCAGGGAGCCCGCAAACGGAGCGTCGTCTTTTATTGAAGTGCGAAGTGGTTGGTTGTGTTTTGATGTTAGCAGGGAGAAGCGCCTCCTGCACTGAACGCGCCTGTCCGCACCACAGCGACACCTGGCGGCGAGGCACGAACACTCACYGGTTCCAGGATCAGGAAGCGCCGTGTGCCACGGATGTAACACCACAGTTATGTACAATATCTATGTGTAACACCACAGCAGCACCGTGGTAGCCGGGTAGGGATCGGGTCCGTATGGGATAAGGCGGCTCCCTCCAGAGATGGGTCTCCCTGTCATGCTGTATTGGCCGAATGTGATCGGTGAGAAAATCACTTTTTGTGTTACGAGTCGCTTTATTTGTCACACCACGGTAACCTTGCCTTTAATGTAGACATAAATAGGCAGCTAACCTAAATGAGCGCAGTTAAATGTTAGAAGGGTATCTCCCAGGAGGCAGACTGGCTGTAGGACCTGCATGTGATTCTGCAGGGGTGTTAATAATAACAAGGTGTTTGTCTTTCAGGTTACATCAGGATAAGCCTTGTGTTTTCTGCCTGGACGGCCTGGGACACACCAGCAGTGTTTGTCCTCCTGTACTCAGTCTGCATGGTCCTGGATGGTGAGACAGCTCAGTTCAGGTGTACTGTGTTCTGCTCAGTAGGTCCACTTTACCAGGACATGATGTGGGACAACGCAAGACTAACATGGTTTGGAAGTAGAGATGTGGACAAAGTTTTCATTCATCTTTAGAATTGATTCAGACATGTTTAGCATCTAAAGTCTTCAGAATACTTCCAGTCTGGAGCGTAAATCACAGGGAGGGAATTTATATCTCTCTACCCACCTGAGCGGCATGGTGGTGCAGTGGTTTGAGCTGTTACCTCTCACACAGAAGSATGCAGATTTATCTCCCAGCCTTTCTATGTGAAGTTTAATAGTTCTCCGTGTACACATGGGTCTTTTATGGATACTCTGGTGTCCTCACACAAACTAAAAACATGCATGTTAGGTTTATGTTAGATTCATGTTAAGTTTGATGTTAGGTTCAAAGGTTCATGTTAGGTTCATGTTAGGTTCATGTTAGGTTCATAGGTTTATGTTAGGTTCATGTTAGGTTCATAGGTTTATGTTAGGTTCATGTTAGGTTCATAGGTTTATGTTAGGTTCATGTTAGGTTCATGTTAGGTTCATGTT